TATTAATAATGAGAAAGCTTAGCTCTTAATATCAAAACCCCAAAACCCCAAAACCCCAAAACCCCATGATGCAATATTCCCTTATAGTTGGATGAATGTATTATTCTTGTTATAAATTTCAATGATTTATTTTGTATTTTATATTGATAGCTTTAATGCTGGCATTAAACTACTATTAATCTGCTGTTTCAAAGGTAATCTTTTGGACTTCTTTTCTTAGTCTCTTCTTCTACGATTCTATCTAGCTCGACTCTCTTGACAAACATTGAGTTATTAGCTCTTTGTGTTTCGTTCTTCTTGCTCTCTCTATTTAAAAGCATTAATGACTAGCAATATATACTCTTGGAATATTTTCATTTTATCCTTAAGTGATGGGAATATCATAGAGACTAGAGGCGATCTTGATGCAACTGCTCCATGCGGTGTCACTCTAGTAAATAGAGGTCTGATTTCAGTCTTTGCTCTAAGATATGATTGACGATAATTCTCCCTATATCATTATTATAAGTTTTGAAACTTACTTAGGTATTCTGAATCTCATTTCAAGCCTTTTGATCATGTCTCCAGTGTTTTCTTTTTGAGGAGGTTCCTTTAATTAAGGGTATTTCTTTTTGCGAGACTCTTCAAACTGCACTCTTTAAGTAATATTAAAAGCGTTAGATCTGAATAGTCTATTGATCTCCTCCTCAAGTTTTTGGATGTCACTCTTATCAAAGGCATTTTACAAAACCTTAGCTGAGAAAATCATCATTGTTTCGTAGAAGTATTGGTCAGACTTCTGATTTGCTAGAATTTTAGACTTAAACTGCATGAATGAGGAGCAGTGATCCATTTGATCGTTTGAGATGGATTTGTAATTAAACACAATCCAGGCGTATTTATCTGCCATTTTCTTTGCTTTTTCACTCAGTTTTTTCTTCTCTGAGGGTAAAACTTAAGGCACTGGAAGTCCTCTTTGCTTTGCCTCTTATTCAAGAACTTATTGTTTATTTTCAAGTCTGAATAATTCTCTGCAATAGTCTAGCATTGACTCCAAGAGATCTCTGTATTCTCCTGACTTAACAAAGTTACCGAACTTCGGAGGGATCTTCTTTTCTGGATCATCTTTCTTGTCTTTTATCATTTTTTAATAGGTTATCTCTATAATTTAAGATAAGTTTCCCTTGATATTTGGAAAAGTATTAGTGATTACCAATAACGTCTGAAAGCACGAAATTATTTTTATATTTCTTCTATGCATCGTTTTCATCTCTATATTCAAGTTAAATACAATCATTCGAAGTAAGTTTACTCATTTTTCCTGGCCTTGTCTATAAGTGATATTAAATTTAAAAGGATTGTGATTACTTGAAAAGTTCTTGCAAGCCTCTAAGAACATTAAACTCATTTTTAAGTTCTATTTCTAACAAATTAATGCTATTATAATTTAGAATTTATTAATATTTTATTTTCTTAAGAAAGGACTGGGTCATTAGAAATTAAAATTAATTAAGAGAAGTAAGAAACAAAGAAATGTCATAAAATTTTCAAAAATACCTAAGTAATAACTACTCAACAAGCTAAAATAATAATGCGAATTCCTCGAATTCTAAATTAAGAGGTAACATGTAAAAGACAAAGCTTGAGAAATTTATATAGAATTCAACTGCACCTTTTTCATAGAAGTCTCATTTAGCATCATTGAGTTCAACATCGAAGCTGTATGATGAAAGAAAAAAACTGATGCAATAAAATAAATCAGATGCAGCCTCTAAGAATAGGGTTGAATCTAATAATTCAGTAACAAGACTCTCTATGCCCAAGGAATCAAAAAGTACTTAACCTCATCAAAGACAAAGAAGTTCAAACAATTTTTCTAAGCTAAATTCAATATAATCAAGAAGCTTCATTAATGGAACGAATAATGGTAACTCAAGACCAAAAAGTGGACAATTTAGAAAAGAAAGATCATTCACCCCAGTCAAGTCTAGATATGTAGATAATAATTACTATAACTAGAATGATTAATTTGAAAACGATATTGAAGAAGATGCTACAGGAGTATAAGTATTACAAACCAAGGAAAGTGTCGAAATGAGGACAGCTTATTAGTCAAATCCCTAAAGTAGCAGTAATAAGAAGCAATCAATTTGAAGTATGATAAAGGTTGCTAATGATTTGGAATAGTAACTAAGCAAGAGTAAATACTCTCAACAAAAACTAGAAAAGGTAAATTCTCAGCCTTACAACCACATAAGAAGGTAAACACTTTAAAACTATCCTGAGGTGTAGTCTAAAATATATTAGCATTTTCAATAGCCCAAAGAACTATCACCAGTTTGTAATTATTCAAAATATTTAAATATCTTTAGAAAAGAGAGATATGATGGAATAGTTTATTGAGCCCGAGAACCTAGTTGGATTGAAGGGCATCAAGAATGAAATCATAAATAAATAGTAGGAAAAGGAAGAATTAGAGATGAACATTAAATTCTTGTAAGATTAGCTGAAAGAGGTTTCGAAAAAGTATGATGGCCTTGATAAAGGTAACACTCTGGTGCATAAGGAATTCAAAAAGCTAACTACTGTAAATGATGTAAATTTGAAAGCAATCTAATTATTCCTTAGTAATTGAGTGGCAATTCAAAGAGTATTTGTTTTCAGCTTGATGAGGCTAAGTTGTAAGTAAAAGAAGAATAAAGCTTTTTGGATTTTGTGAAATAGCACAGTATCGATTATTAGAGCTAGATTGAATAACAGAAAATAGCCATCGCAAACCTTTAATAGCATGTAAAAGAGCAAAAAGCACTTATATAGCTTGAAGTTGTAAGAATTCCATAAAGTGTCATTTTTTAGAAATAAAGAGAAGAAATTAGAGGTCAAGTGCTGTTGCAGAGAAAATAAATTGATGTAGCGAAGAAGAAAGTTGATATCTAGAAATAGAAATATAAAGACTTCAAGATTGGTACAAATTAATCAATTATGAATATGTCCGCAATGATAAGTACAACTTCTAAGACAAGCAACAATAGCAAATTCTTGACATAAAATAGAGGGTTTATATAATCAAACAGCAACAAATGAATATAGCTTTAAATATATGAATTTAATCTTGAAACATACTTACTAATAAAAAGCAATTAATTATTTTATCTAGATTATAAAATTAATCTTAATTTAATATATTTCTATCAATTTATTCTAACACAATTTATCCGTTATATAGGTTGCTTATTTAATTTGATTTATTTCACAGTTTTAATGATCACTTAGGTAGCACATTTAGTTGTTCGTTCTGTACACAAACTTTATACTTTTCATGGCAGGTTAGACCGATCATACATTAAGCTTTGAGATCTGAAGAGCAAGGCTCACCTCCTAGTCTTGGATAATGATAGCATCTATTGATACCATTGAAAGTATGGCACGAGAGATAGTCTCCACATTCGGCGTAATAACTACAAGGTTAAAATATCTGTCTGGGTGCTATATGTAATGGTCATTATATATTTTTGAAATACCTGGATAGCACCTTTGAGTAGAGAGAAAGTCGCAAGAGAATCCAAAGCAGCATTCATTTGAAGACTAACATCTTTAATAAGAATCAGAAATGCATTCTTTTGCAGATAAACATTCTAATAGTTAGGCTGCAAATATTAGATTGATAATAGCAAAACTTTTCATGAAATATTTATATTTTATTTTATTAAATTGACACTAAATCAATAAATCTAGTATCATGGGGTTTTGGGGTTTTGGGGTTTTGGGGTTTTGGGGTTTTGGGG